GCTTTCTACTTAGTTTCCACATTTGAAGTCTCAGGATCCCTCGGGATTTAGCTAAAATAAACACACCCATTTTAGTTTGACTGTGAGTTGGTAGTGCGTAATAACCCTCAATGACTAATGATTCAAAGATAATCCTGAGGTTGTGCAGTCTAGTCTCTTAGTGAAAGTTTACTTTTCATAGGAAAAAGAAACCACCCCAGAAATACAAGTACGAATTCTCTAAGTAGATGACTGACTTCAGCTGAATGTTATCTTGTATGCTTGAAATGGGCTATGCTGCAGATATGTTAAGTGTCTTTTATTTTTTTTTCTTTCTTTCTTTCTTTTTTAATAAGTACAGAACTCATAGGTTGCCATGTTTATGTTGCTTGCGTTTGGATTGCTACTGCAAGAAATCCTGGCTAATTCCCAAGCTGACAATCTTACTGAATTTAGAAACATTCCAGAAGAGCCATTATATAGCTACAAAGCCATCAACTTGCCAGATGAGCATATCCCGTACTTTCTGCACAATAATCAGCATATTGCTGGCGTCTGTAAGCAGGACTCTCATTGCCCATATAAAGTAGGTTTGCTTTTGTGTGTGTGTGTGTTTGTTCAAATGTAACGGTGGGGTGGTTTGTTCTTGGAGTCATCGCAGTTAAAGATGGTGATGAATGAGTCTCCGTGCCAATTAGTCGGTTCCACTGGGAATTGGAATTCCTGCTTTTGAAATAGTTGTACGGGGCTCTTCCTGAATCTGATGCTGTCACAAGACTGGATTTTTAACGTGCTCTTTTGCAAGATCTTTATCCCCCTTGTTGTAATTGTCACAGAGCTGAAATGACGATCTTAATCTGAGTGACGCTTGCGCATGTCAAAGGTGTTTGAACTAAGCGCAGTTAGTAATTTCTAGGCCTGTGATTTTTAGCATGCCTCAGTACTTTTGTGGAAGTGCCAAGAGCATAGGCAAATCAATGAAACGCTGATTTAATCTTGCCCTGTGGTTGCATATAATTCATTCACCTGAAGCGGGGACAGTGAACCTGAGGATCCGGGCGTGTGTGGCTCGGGGGCGATTCTAGGGTCTCTCAGGCTGGAGCTGCTTCGTAGAGCTGAGGGTGGGAGCTGTGCTCCCCCTTCTCCGACTTTCTGTAACACTGCAGAAGCCAATGTTTCTTGATTTGCCTGAGGAGCAGTGGTACGCTCCGTGAGCTTAGCTTTGTCGCCTATGTCTGTCAGCGATGTTAAAATTTTGGAATCCTACTCACTGGGTCAGGAAAAGCATTTCCCCTGGAACAGACGTATTAAAGACAAGGATATTGTTGCTGTGCATGTGTGTCCTCTTGGAAGCCTCTGTGGTGCATAAAGAATCTGAGTGTTCTTTCTGAAACTCTGTTTGCAAACAGAGCAAATCAAAAGCCTTTAATGCAAGATTTATTAGTGAGAGGTGGTTTATAAGCCACCAACTAACTGAAGTCATTTCCCATTTTGCTGTTGCGTCACCTGATTCAGTTATTCTGCGTTACAGAAATACTTGAAGAAACTAAGATCCTGCTGGGGTTATGAGAAATCTTGCCAATCAGATTACAGGTTCAGTTACCCAGTGTGTGATTATGTTGAAACTGGATGGTAAGTTTAATTTTAAATGTATAAAGTACAGTATGCTAAAAAAAAAAAATAAATAGTAGAGTGCTCGCTTTTATATTAGCTGTGAAGTTAACATTATTGTGAGTTAAAAGGATGATTCTTTGTGGAGATATGTGTGTGTATATATGTGCATTTATAGATAACGTATGTCTTTCAGCATGATTTTAAAAATTTAACTTTTTAAGGAAGAAAATACTGTTTGAAATGCTTCCTGCCACAATGTTTTCATTATTCCGATTTAGCCTTGAATTCAGATTCCTAAAATAACTGTATTTCCTTTCTTAGCTTTAAAAACAGAGGAAAAATGTTAAAAAAAAGTTATAACCTTTTACGGGAGAATAGCTTTGAATTGTCATTGATGTTTTTGCTTACATACAGCTGATAAATTGCTTCCTGTTTTGCATCTTACATGTCAATAAAGTAACTGGCTGGCTCTCCTGTTCCACTTTCAGTGGAAAAAAAACATTATCTGTTAAAGTTATTGCTAGAACTGAGCAATGGACCTTGATTTTTTTTTTTTTTTCCTCTCCCCTTCATACATCAGGGCAAGTGACATTGAGACAGCCCAACAGATATTCTGGAAACAAGCTGACTTTGGTTACATTCGAGAGAGGCTCAATGAAATGAAAACCCATTGTAAACCTGCAGCAACAGTAGGTATTTCTGAAAGATACTATGCTTTTCACTTTTAAACGTAATTTTTTGTTATTGATAAAATCCTACTTGTTCTTTTTTAACAGGGAGATTCATCTCTGACCTGTTCTCAGTACCTTCAGCATTGCAGAGCAACAAACTTGTACATTGATTTACGAACTGTAAAGAGAAACCATGACAGGTCTCTGATTTGCTTATGTTACAGTAAAACCAAGCAATGGCAGGGAAAAGGACTTCAGAATTTGTTTAACAAAGCTAGTGTGCTTGTTGTCACGGGCTTCACTGTTGATCAGAGACTGGTTGCTGAAGTCGTGTCGAGATCTACACCTCTTGATTGCCATTGGCTGCTGCTGTCAGCAGTACAGGTTATTTAAAAAACTAAGTTCTCAGGTTTATAGAATGAAGACAGGTGATTGAAATCCTCCCTTCTAATGGAAGAGAGGAAGACTCTTCTGTGTCTTCAGGTCACATCCTTTCTTGAACAGGTGATGTGCAAAGTAGATTTTTTTTTTTTTTTTTTTTATATGAGGCACTGAGAAGACCTTTCCTATGCAAGGTGCCTTTACACTAGAACCAGGAATTGCATTTTTAGATACTGAGACTGAAGAGAGATCTGAATCTGGATGTCCCACATCCCAAATTAAAATGCTACATATTGGAAAACTGGGTAAAAACCCCATACCGCTGATGATACCGCTCATTTTTTCTTCTGCCTTATCTCTGAAGTCAGTGCCTTGAGCACATGACTTGAAAGAGCTGGTTCATGACTCTGATACCCTTCAGAATGGGTTTTGTCATCTTGGCCTATCCTGAAAGGTAATTTAGACAGTGCTTTCAGTTGGCAGTTTGTTTTCACGAAGCCTGTTCTTGCACCTCACTCTTAGTAACCCGAGAATTTTATACAACATATGAACGGGGTTGTGAAATCTGAGGTAAAGTTAAGTGAGAAATTGTCATTAAAAACAAACAAACAAAAAGCCCAACTAGTGATGCTCCTGTAAGTAATCATGTAGCAAAATCTAATTAAATTACTCATTTGGGTATGTGAAAATGATTCCTAATAATTGGATTTGTGCTGTTTTCTGTGTAGATGTGTAGAACTCCAAGGACACCAGTATCTTTATTTGGGAATTGTGGGAAATGCTGGATTTATGCTGTAGAAAATACTCAGGTTTTACATATGTATGAAGTACCTTGCTGAATTGAGATTAACTAGCACTGGCTTGAGTACGTAATGAAGGTTGCAGAGCACTTGTAGCACTGTTGCACAAAAGCTGATAGACTATTACTAATTTGCATTAGATTCAAAGAAGACTTTCTCCAGAAGGGAGAAATTGGAGGTCATTGCACCCTCGATGTTCAAGCATTTTTGGCTGAAGGTCAACGCAAGAGCCCTCTGCAGTCTTGGTAAGAATCAGTTGTCAAGGCTGCTTCCAAGTTCACTTGTTAATTCTTTTTTATTTTTTTTCATTGGCTCTGGCAGCTGTGCGTAGGGGATTTCATACTGAGGAAACAGTTGCTCATTTCTGAGGTCAATTTGAGAGTTCACGTAAGATACCTCTGGTAATTACATCTATGCAAAATGTTCTGAACCATGCTATGTATAACTGTGTCCTGCCTAATTTACAGCAGCAAAAGATCTGAAAACATCTTGTAATTTGAAGTTCTAACCTTCAGGTATTTTCTGGATAAGGTGCTGGTTGTATGCCTGATCTGCCTGTAGGAGGAGACAGTTGTTTTGTTGTGAAATGCCTTGAAGTTTGCACTTGCGTCTTAGTTCACACAGCCCTTGTTGATGTTGGGGCTAATGCAACAACTGATCTGGATGTATATTCATATGGTGTTTCCAGGGGGCCTGTGTTTGGAATGTGAAGTGGGCAACAGTCTACAGGCTGAGTAGGAAGTGCAGAGCATGCTTTGTGGTAGCTGGTTAAGTGTCATGGATTGCATGTTAGCACTTCAAAGCTGCATTGCCCGTTAATGGATGAAACGTGGAACAATTGGAGCCATTAAGGTCTATATAGGAATTCATTTTTATTCTTTTCTCATGTTTTCGTTTTTTCCTCTCATTTGGCATCAACGATCAATTTCAGTTAAGAATAGCTGCAGAGGAGGAGAAGATTTTTCTTCCCTACCTGCTATTGTCATTTCAACCGCTCATCCTTGTTTAGATTCAGGAATAATAAATATTGCATCTACATTCATTATTCTGACCAAAGCATGAAGATCTTGCTAAAGTGGTTTTGGCAATGCAGATCAAGTTGGATAGACTCACAGATCTGGGCTCTTTGTTACATCTGTACTGCCTTGATTTGTAGATCAAAGATGCTGTTTGCTCCTGAGATCAAAGGTGGTGTTTAACCTCTTGAAGCTCATAACCTGAAGAACCTTCCATTCCAATTTCAAATCATTTTCATTGTCAGACACTATCAGTTTGCAGCAGTCCTCTTAAATCAAATGGACTGGATGAAAAGTTACTAAATCTTAGATGTATGAAGTACATTTGTTTGAGTGTGTTAGTGACAAAAGCATGTTCTGTGTGACTGAATCTTTGTAGGTTTGCAGAACTCCAGACATTTACTGCATTAAACTTCAGGCCCCTAGAAGATGGGAAGTGTGATGTTGTTATTGAAAAGCCAACGTACTTCATGAAACTGGATGCAGGTAATTGATATCTTTAGTTTTTTTACTTTTTTTATCCTACAGTACTGCAGTAAAAAGACCTCATATCCGACTTGCCCATCTACGTTATGCCTTTGTGATTATCAAGTTCACTTGTAATATATTTTTATTTCTGAAGAACTGTATGACTTTTAAATTCCTTTTTTTCTGTAGTTCCATTGATGAACTTGGAAACTTAGATTTAAATCCTTACGTTTTGCCACGGGTAATAAATAAATAAATCAGAAAAAATTTCCTGCCACTTGTTTTGCAAAGTCACTGACTCTTGACTGTGTTGTGACAGTCTTTGACTTTGTGCCAAAGGCTCTTCTGTACAGAGTCTTTGATTTTGGCTGTGTTTCTGGATGACAGTTTTCATACCATGAAACACAAGGTATGGGTGTATGTGCCTTGTATTATGTGTTCAGTAATTGAGGATTCTATGTGTGTTGAATGACACAGAAGAGGAAGCGTCAGTGAAAGATGAAGTTCAAGGGAATAAGTTGTCTTAGTTGATTAAACTACTTCCCTTCACCCATCCCAGAAAAGCCAAAGCCCACAAAACTAAAGACGACCCTGTTTTAATCTTAAAGTTTCAAATTTAGGTGAAAAGACACTACGGGAAGAAATTAGCTATCTCATTACAGAGAGCTGTGGTGAATGCTGTGCAACACTATACCAAAAATCATGAGAGGTGCAGCACCCAAGCATCTTTAGGAATCAGCCAGTGGTATCTGACATTTTTTTGAAGTTCACCAACCTTTTTGTTCATGGAGCATGTTTTGCAGACAGATGTTAATGAAAGGGAGTGTTCAGGTTGTAGACATACAAACAAGCTGCTGTGGGTAAGCTATGGTTTAAACTGGCTAATTGTCTGCTGTGTTCTGACCCTGTGACATACTGCAAAGGTAGGCTGGATTGCCCCTCTTCCCCTGCAGGCCAGTGTCTTGTATTTTAAGCAAAGTTGTTGCAGGGCCCTGAACAGTTACTGTGGAAGACTTGCTCTGCTGTCAATTTGTACCTTTGAATAGGGTGGTCTAGCTGTGGCTTTGGAGATGATTTTTGTCCAGCTCCTTTGTTTTAGGGGAGGCAGGGGAAAATTGCCATTTGAGCAGTATAGGAAGCCTGGCAGCTAGCTCCTATCATGGCAGCTCTTTTTGGTCAGAAGCTTAGAAACAGGGGCTGTGTGCATATGGTTCCAAAACTGGGATCTGGTCTTCACTAGGAAAGAAACTTGGCTACGTTACCTCCTTTGTTTCATGGTATTTTTTTTTACGCGTCATGGTCTTCAGGTATCAGCTTAAGAAACCAAGAATGCTCTTAGAAGAAAACTGAGGAACTACTTGGGCTTTGGCTCATGTGCAAGTACAAGTTCTGTCTTGTAGTCCTGCAGGCAGAGCTGCCCTTAACCCTAATAAAGCAGAACTAAGATCAGTGCCGAAGGCCTGTTTTTAATGTTTCCTTTATGTCTAACTGGCTCTTGTTAAAGCAGCAGTTGCTTTCATATCCTTCAGAAACATCTTTTTCTTATGCTGTCTTTTGGCTGCTAATCTAATTTCTCTGAACTTTTTAAAAACACATTTTACTTCAGATTTCTTAGCTTGATTCCTTCCCTTTAAAGGTTTACTTTTTAGGGTGTATAGGAAGCATTCACTCAGAAGGAGGGGAAAAATAATATAAAATGCGGGACACTACTAAGGAAAAAATGCACGAACCAATAAAAAGCGGCGCGAGTAATGTAGTATGTTGCTAAAAGTTCTTTCTTTCTCAGGTGTTAATATGTACCATCACTTCTGTGACTTCGTCAATCTTTATATTACGCAGCATATTAATAATTCCTTCAGTACCGATGTCAACATAGTCATGTGGGACACCGTAAGTCTGCTGTGCTTTTAACCTATTTGTAATGAGTTGTATTTCTGCTTTATAGAGACTCTGAAGCTTTCAGTAGCCAGTCCTTAGCTTTCCTGTGTGCTCAGCCATGTGGAACTGATAAGTTTTTGGATCTTGTTAATACAGGTGTATGAACAAGAGTTAGGTAACAGATTTTCTAGAATAAACCATGTGCTGTTCGAACACTACTCCATAGCTCATCTTTTGCTAGTATGTAATTATGCCTTTTTTTGGTGTGACCTCAAAAATAATTTGATCTGTATTTCTAATATGTGGCATTTGAACATTTGATGCTATTTTCTGTAGACTTTCTTCTCTGAGGCTATTGAAGTAGACTTACTCAAAACTGTTTCTTCTATATTTGAAAAGAAATGCAGCCTTGCATCTTTCTAAATCAGTAATGTGCAGCCTGTAATAAAGAAAACAACTAAATGAAATCCTTATATATATCAAGACAGGGTCTGATACTTAATTCCTTTAAATAGCCTTCTTGCAGCTGCTTCTCTCAATCACCTCTTAGAATGCCACAATGATATATAAAACAAGATTTTAAATGGTGCTATTTCTGCTGTACTGCAGAGTTGAAGCCAGGACTGTGTTTAACAGTAATACTAGTTTTACTGGCCAGTGTTTAAGTTGTGCAGGAGAGTATTAAACTAATGAAAAACTAGGCAATTTATAACATGGCAGTTAACATGTATAATCAGGTCCAGAAATAACACAGTTCTGGACTATGATATTGTCCCACGCCTGTCTTGTTCTCATAAAATACTGGGGTTTCTGAGTATTTACTGCTAGGATAACTAATATTCAATAGAGAGCTGAAAATATCCCCTGCTTGCTATTTAATGAGAAACCTCTTTGGCCAGAAGAGACTCCTAGTTCTCTTACGTTTTGAAAGCTAAAATAAATGTGCTTGCCAGATAAGCAAGCTCTCTCTAGTTGTTATACAGGGACCTGTTAATCCAGCTCTGATCGCTTTCTGAAAAGGAGAGATGTGTCAGACAGCACTGTAAATGACTTTGAAAAGCAACTCTTTTTCTTATATTGGATTATTGGATCAAATAACTCTTTCAGATGTACCGTTCAAAGTAGGTACTCTCACAGTACTATCATTTTAAATGAGTCTTAACTGCTTAGTCTGCTTGAGTTCATTACCATGTACAACCAGATGATGGCACCAACTGACTGCTGATGAAATGCCTGTGCTGATTGAAAGACGGACTTGAGCTTATCATTAATTCTTTTTTTTACCCCCCTTGGTGTAATTAGATTTGGCCATACTTTCTAGCTACTGTAGGATCAGTGCACTGCTCTTATTAAACAGTAATGCCCTTAGATGTAGGCTAAACAAAGCAGAAAATGAGTAGGAAATCCACTGGGTGTTGATTTGCAGACTGTCTCTGCAAATGCAGGAAAGCAGTGTTGATAAAGCACTTTTAAGGGGAACAGGTAGAGTTAGAAAGCAGTACTTACATCTTGGAAGAGCAGTTCTTGTAATACAGATGGCCAGAAAGTAGTATGGATTGTAAAGTTCATTAAAACTTAATGGCAGAAGAAGGGGAAGGAGGCACCTCTTCAACTGAAGGCAATCTTGGCACCCTTTAGATTCTTTCACATTTCACTAGACGTCTGCTCTCTTCTGTGGTCATTTGTAGTCTTACTCTCAGATCTCTTGGTGAGAATATTTCCACATAACTTTCCAAGTGGCCTGAACCAGCTCCAGAGTTGAAAGGAAGCTTTAAGCAAGAATCTGTACCAGGGCTACTGAGGTCATATTTAATTGCATTTAAAGAGCAAGAGATGGTGACTCTTAGCCCTCAGATGTGTAGGAAATGTTAAAAATGTGAAGGCGAGAGCCCCTGCTGCTAGGCCAGTGTTGTAGGGAGTAGACAGTTCTTAAAAGATTCCACAGGGCATTGCTGCAAAGGGGGAAGTTTTATACTGCCCTGTAGAGAAACTTCTTGGTAGCTTGACAAAGTAATGCAAAATGTAGTTTCCTGGCTGTTTCTTCCATCAGATCAGATAATTGCCTTCTATTTGTGGTACAAGTGACCGCCCCAAAACAGAGGCAAATGTGAAACAGGCTTGTTGTGACTTTTTTTACTTCAAACATTACTGCTGCACTTGAATTCTCAGGTGTTTTTTTTAGTCTCAGGAGTTGAGGTTCATGCCTTCTACCATCCCTATGTTTCTGTTACTTCAAATTTAACTTGTGTTCTGTTTTGTCTGGGGAAAGTAGTAGGTAGTCCTTGCTCTTAACTCAGAAATTCTAATCTGCTGCAGAAGAACTTGTCTAGATTGCTAATTTAGAGAACTGTTTTATTAAAAATTAACTACCTGACAGGTAATTTGAGTTAACTGCCATTGTAAACGCAGGGTAATGTCTGTGTTCTGTGCTTAGGTCTGTCTTAGGTCCCATAGTGGTCATGTGCATATTAACTCTATGTTAAAACTGGTATATAGAACTTGTAAATCAAGAAGAGTTTTTATATGCATTTATGTAATCATTATGCCCTTATGTTTTTTCCTTTCCTCCTAGAGCTCATATGGCTATGGTGACCTGTTCAGTGAGACGTGGAAGGCATTTACTGATTATGAAATAATACACTTGAAAACCTTTGACTCTAAAAGGGTATGGAATTTTGTGTTTTGTTTTCATTCATTGTCACTAGGTAGCAAATACGACAGCTTCTCAAGCCACTTGTGGATATGGGTGTTTCAGAGGAAAGCGTTAATACTTACCATGCATGTTTAATTTGCGTAACACGAGTATTCTACCTTACAAACAAGAGACAGAGCTGTAACCCAATTCTGTGGCATGTCTATGCTTTATGTAGATGGACCTAACTTTTGTGTTTTCTGAGAGGTGATATTTATGTATTGGTTTCACTTCCTCAGGACCCACTACTTAAGTTAAGGGTTGTCAAATGGTGATGTCTTTTTAAGTCTTCTGATTCCTACTGAGGTGTTTATCTTCCCCTGAAACTGTTGGTATACTTGCTGTTTATCATTAAAAAAATTTTTACTCCCATCAGAAAATGTACCCATTCATTCAGAACTCATTTTAGTCTCTTAAATCCCTTAAGGCCTGTCTTAAACTCTGTACTCTCTAACTGTTTTTCTTCTGTTTGTTCTGGTTTGGGTTGTTTTTTTTTTTTACCTCTTCTCACACTTGCATCGGTAGCAACCTAAGTGAGAGCTCTTGGGATCAGGATTGCCTTTGTTCGATTCATTTGCACAGTCAAGGAAGTGAAGATGTTCTTGACAGGAGCATGTAATTGCTAGCTCATTATAAGCAGTGATCCCACTGAATGAGGACGGAATGTGCCAGCGGAAGGTAGCAGTGCAGTGTAACTTCTTGTGATCTTCCTTTGCAGGTTTGCTTTAAAGAAGCAGTCTTCTCATTACTGCCTCGAATGCGATACGGCCTGTTTTATAACACACCATTGGTGAGTTCTTTTTATCCATCCACTGTGTAACTAGATGTGTGTGTGACGGTATAAAATCTGAGCTAATGAATCTCTCAAATATCTGGCTGAGCTATCATGAAATGTACTAAGTTGAAAGTCTATGCAACTCCAAATGAAATGATCTTCCCTAAAGATTAGGATTTTGAAGTTACTTTAGCTGGTTGATAGTAACTGGTTGTGTGCAATCTCCTATGTCACGCTTCATGAGATGCATATTATTCCTCTTTTAATGGGTGGGCACTGTGAACTTCTTGGTATTTCTGCAGAACACAAGACCTTGTACACTGACAGACTTTCCCAGTGGTATTAGCTCATGCATTCAGGCTGTAACACTGTAGAGAGAGTTATATTTCTTTCTAAATGAAAGTGCCACTTGTGTTGCAGTGAATAGTGACATGTTTAGCACAGTGCATGATGGTAGGCTTTTGTTCCACAAGAATAGTAAAAGACTGATCACAAAGAGAGGTTTTCTGAGCAAAACAACTTTTTGTATTAACAATTGCTTTTTTAATTTCAGATCTCTGGCTGTCATGGTACAGGGCTATTTAGAGCATTTTCTCAGCATGTGTTACACAGATTAAATATCACACAAGAAGGACCCAAGGTATGATAACTGAATAATAAATTTGTAATATGGAGCTGATGGCTCTTACCAGAGAAACAGCATTAGCAAGCTGAACCCAGTGGGGAAGAGGGGCATATAGTTCACTTCTTGTCCTTTCCTGTGATGCTTGGGATTTTTTTCCAGTAAGGCAGCCTGTGTATGTTTGTGTAGGTTGCCTTCGTGTCTTTCCATAGGACAGACTTTAGAACATCCCCCTTCCAACCCTAGGATCTCTTCCTCATCTCCATTCTCTGTGCTCAAGGCCTTTGCATCCTTCCTAGTTAAGCAAGATACATGGTGCATGGTCTTTTCTGGAGCACGGTGCTGTCCTTGGGTCCAGCAGAGGGGAACCCACAGAGCAACGCAGTGAACTTGCTCTTTGTCGGTCCTCGTAGTTACTGCTGAGCTTGGATCAGAGGAGGAAATGATTGAATCTGGTCCTTCCAATCCCTGCCTGGTACCATCTGCCTGGCCCTGGGCTTCTCTGTTGTACACACTGGTAGTTTTTGCAAATTGTTGCAATGGCTGCATTGACGGATACGGCAGTTCTGAACTTCTTGAGGTACTTGCTAGAGAGTAGCCTACATATTATCGCTGAGGGGCACACATTCAAAGCACTGCACAGGCATTTAGTTATGCTTCTCCTGCTGACACTAATGGGAGTCATGCAGTTAAATCTCTTTATTTCACTTGGAACACTTACCCCTGTGAGTCCAATTAATTTAAAGAGGTAAAGGGGGGAACTGTTATAGAAGTAAAATATTTTTTTCCAAGGATCTTGTGCACAAGCCATCCTGAAAGCTGCTTTCCTGCTTTCAAGAACTGCTGTATAATGTGTAATACAAAGGCTCTTTTGTACTGGATAAAATAAATCTTTCAGAAAATGTTTTATTCTTTGTTAACAGTCAGACTTTCACAAAGTTTTTGACACTTTTAATCTGTTGGAAAATATGATGTGAATTTTAAGGTGGTTACATCATCTATTACTTGGGGAGGGAATATATTTAGTTGCTCAAATAATTGCCAAAAGTAAATATGGAAGTGTTTGGAGTTTTTTTTGTGAGGTCTGCCTCATAGCTAATACACTGCTGCTTCTTTCTCTTTAGGATGGGAAAATTCGAGTCACGATACTGGCACGCAGTACAGATTATCGGAAGATATTAAACCAGAATGAGGTGTGGTCCTTTTTATTTTTAAAACAAAGTTATCATAAGTTAAATTTTTCTCATTGAATTAACTTTTTTTTTTTCAGGTACAGCCAAGACATCTATCTGCTGACAAATCTTGGACAAATATGTTCTGTGCTAATATTAATTTCTTCCAATATGTCTTCTCGACAGTCTCTTATTTCTGTACACCAGACACTGAATCTCGCTGCCCTTTTTAAATATCCATTGGAAGACTACAGATGTAATACTAAAAGTATTTCCTCTTACAGACACTGCAGAGCTTCTGATAACGTTAAATTACTTACTTTCAGATTATCTCTTTTATTTCTAGCATCCCCAGTGTTGAAGTCTGTAACAAAAACCTTTGTTGTGCTTGCAGATTAAAATGCATAAGCTATTGTATCTGAGTATGTGCATTCAAAACTTAATGACTTTTTAATATTGATTCACGTTTTCGAATTGCACAACTCGGTGGACTTACACTGTAGCTTCTCTTGTGGTAAAACGATAATATCTAATGTTTTCATACCTGTCTTCATTCTTAGCTGTTAGTGCCTGACAGAAATGAATCAGCATTATCATTCTCACCTTTCGTAGGGAGAAACTGAGGCTTGTTTGATGCAGTAGCTCAGCGGGAGAATAGGCAGAGCTCAGGTGGCTAGATTTGTGCGTTATCCGCCAGGCTGGCTGCAGTGCGTGCCTACACTGCTATGTTTGCTATGTTTTCTGGTAATGAGTACATGACAGACAGGGAGAAGTTAATGTTCTCTTTATTACACTTTTGTAAAAGAAAATACTCATCTCTCTCCCTCTTCTGCTGGCTATGGATTAGAGACTTAGAAAGTACTAAGAGAGTACTGCGTCCAGCTCTGGAGCCCTCAGCACAAGAAGGACATGGAAGTGTTGGAGCAGGTCCAGAGGAGGGCCACAAAAATGATCCGGGGGCTGGAGCCCCTCTCCTATGAGGACAGGCTGAGGGAGTTGGGGTTGTTCAGCCTGGAGAAGAGAAGGCTGCGGGGAGACCTGATTGCGGCCTTTCAGTACCTAAAGGGGGCCTATAGGAAAGGTGGGGACAATCTTTTTAGTAGGGCCAGCAGTGACAAGACAAAGGGTAATGGTTTTAAACTAAACCAGGGTAGGTTTAGACTAGATCTAAGGAAGAAATTCTTTACAATGAGGGTGGTGAAACACTGGAACAGGTTGCCCAGAGAGGTGGTGGAGGCCCCATCCCTGGAAACATTCAAGGCCAGGTTGGACGGGGCTCTGAGCAACCTGATCTAGTTAGCGGTGTCCCTGCTCCTGCAGGGGGGTTGGACTAGATGACCTCTAGGGGTCCCTTCCAACCCAAAACATTCTATGAATCTATGAATCTATGAAAGAAAAAGTCCTTTTAGGTCTAACCTAGAGCCCAGGCTCTAACCTGGTTTCATTTCTCATGTGAGTAGGAGTCTGACCTAGTTAAGGTATTTTTGAAAATCCTTCTAGCTACCAATTTGTTTCTTTAGGTATTGGAGTATCTTTTGGAAATCCAACCACATCTTCCCACTATTCCTGGCAAAACCCCTACTAGTTTGAGTGGTTTAGGATTGGGTCCTGGAGCATGTGAATGTCAACAGTAACCTCTGTCGGAGTGCAGGAGGTCTGAGTCTCCTCTCCAGGGGTTGCTCTGCCAGGAATAACGCATGTACCTTAGGTGGGAAGGCGCAGAAGGAGGGGAACTGCTCCTTTATGTTGGCAGTGACAGTACGTTCTGTCTCACTTGTAATTCCCTGGTGGGGAGGAGGAGTGTGTAAAAAGATGAGGAGTGCAGGGGAGGAACTGATTGAAGGAGAATACTGAATCTCTGTCTTTTTATTTTCCTCCTTAGCTTGTGAATGCTTTGAAAACAGTATCAACACTGGAGGTCAAAGTGGTAGACTACAAATACAAGTACGTAAGTTGGTAGAAGAAACTCATATGATCTCATGCTGCCTGTGGCTGCTGAAAGCTGTTTGCAGGCAAAGCTACATATGCCCTAATGTCTAACCTTTGCTAAATCCAAGAACAGGTAAGGAAGGAAGAATGTTACTGAGGGAGTGGTGGGTGAGCTAGCTAAGCACTCCCATCCTATGATGCACCACTTAGGAATGAATCTCTAGAGTTAGTAGGCTCAGGGTAAAGCTACTATATGATGAGCAAGTTTTGAAATCGCTTTTCTTTGTTTTCTCCCCTCTCCCAAAACCATCTGTGTCCCCATCACCCTTTTGGATTTGCTACTGCTCTGCAGTAACTGTGGGTCAACAGGGGTTTCTCTTGTATGGTAGTGTCTTGTCTTCTATGACCCTTAGTTTAGTAATGAGTAATAACTCGGCTTATTTGCTCCTCTGGTGGCCCCTGAAGACACCACATGAGGTCAGTTTGTGGTGCCCAGATGTAGTAGGCACTGTATGAGTAAGAAATGGCTTGAAGAAAAAGTTCCCAGGTGGTGTATGCCTGTGCCAAATGGCAGCAGCTCCCATCGACTCAGTGGTGCTGTCACAGATCATGCAGGAAGAGTGAGAAATTGAAACAGCAGTGAGAAATCAGTGTTTTGACTAAAGCAGAGGCAGTGTGAGGAAGTAGAGTTGCTTCCAATTCCTCTGCAATGCAAGCACTTGAGCAGTCTAATAATAGGAAAGAGGGTGGATACCCCTGAGAGGGCATCTAAGCCATCCCACTTGAAAGCATGACCGAGTGGTACTCCACAGTCCCTGTGCTTGTCAAAACTCTTCGTTGCACCATTCAGTGTTACAGATTTCCACAGCTATCCTGCAGCGTCACTGTCATCATAGTTAGAAGGGTTTCCCTGATGTCTGCCCTTAGAGGAGTTTAAGCTTTCTTGTTGTGGTCTAAGCCAGTTTCTTTCTACTTCCTTCCAAATAGTCAGAGAGGATGTTATTCTTTCCCTTTTTAATGTATGAATTGTTCATACATAAATGAAGCCTATTGTAATTTCCCTTTCCAGTTGTCTGTCTTCTCTTACAATTAAGTATCTTTATTCCATTCTTTCCTTGTGTGCTCAGGGAACACCTGGTTATTTAAAGAGAATACTTTATTTGGAGCTTACAGTCAAAGGATGTGAGGGAATGACAGTTCCAGGAGCTAAAAAAAGCCTGGTCTCCTTATTTCTGCTTGGTGCCCTATGCATAAGTGCACGTTGGATATCTGTACCTTTAGGTGGGAATTGTATACTTCTGCATTACATGAAAAACGGTTTAGGTCCTTTATGTTGTTTGGTTTTGTTGTTTTTTTTTTTTAGGAGGTGATGCATTTTTTTTCTTAAAAGCAAGTAAAAAAACCCCAAACTTCCCAAAACTTCAACTTGTAAAAAAAAAAAAAAATATCACATTTTTGGAACAGACTCTTGTGAAGTTTTGAAACCTGCCTGCATTTCCTTTAATTCCATGCTGAGTTATTGCTGGTTGCAGCATTTGTGATTCTTAGTATTGTTCCTTGAAAAATCAATTCTCTCTTTCAGTATTCCCTTAAGTTAATTTTGCGCTTTCTACATGTAACTAATTCTTGCTGAGATGGATAGGCATGCCAGATCACCATTTTTGTTGTTGTCTGCAGGGAACTTGAATTTTCAGAGCAATTGAGAATTACCCACAACTCTGATATATTCATTGGGATGCATGGAGCTGGACTTACCCATTTACTCTTTCTACCAGACTGGGCTGCTGTTTTTGAACTGTAAGTCTGCTTCTCTCTTTTTCCCCTCTTACACCACAACTGCTAATGTCTGTTTATTTGTGTTAATGAAGCACTTCCCCTTGCTAGTATTTGACTATGAAAATTTGTCTTGCATCCTTGTCTAGACTTCATTTTTGGCAGTCTCTTCTGGGAATCAAAAGTGAGGAAGCTTTCATTATGAAATATAGTGTAACTATATCATACAGGTTTAGCCTGTGATTTCTTGAGATGCCGTGGTATAAATAAAATGCAGCCTGGTCAACAATTGCTTGGGGAAAATGGGAAAAAAAGAGAAAGCCTCACTGGTCAGATTCTGCCTGATGAATCTGAGATTTTATGGTATTTTGGTGATCCAGGTGAAGTAATTACGTAAGATGCATGCCCAGGGCGTTAAAGATCCCCCTGAAGGTTATTTACATACTCCTTTCTATGCTCAGGACGTGAGTAACAGCTTGCTGGCCAAGCTTAGCTGAGTGTCATTCTGTATTACCTGAATTTCTCAAGTAGCTTCCTTTTAAACATATTTTCATAGAATGCTTTGGGTTGGAAGGGACCTTTAAAGGCCATCTAGTCCAACCCCCCTGCAGTGAGCCAGGACATCTTCAACTGGGTCAGGTTGCTCAGAGCCCCGTCCAACCTGACCTTGAATGTTTCCAGGGATGGGGCCTCCACCGCCTCTCTGGGCAAGCTATGCCAGTGTTTCACCACCCTCATTGTAAAAAATATCTTCCTTGCATCTAGTCTGAATCTACCCTTCTTCAGTTTAAAACCATTACCACTTGCCCTATCACAACAGGCCCTGCTAAAAAGTCTGTCCCCATCTTTCTTAAAAGCCTCCTCTAAGTACTGAAAGGCCGCAATAAGGTCTCCCTTACAGCTTTCTGTTCTCCAGGTTGAACAACCCCAACCCCCTCAAGCCCTTCTTAAGAGGAGAGGTGCTCCAGCCGTCACATCATTTTTGTGGCCAAATTTTGTTGCAAAGTATGGTTGTTAATAGACCACTCCGGTTCTATAGAACTAAATAAAAATGCTTCATGCTTCTGAGAAGCACACCAAATTCTCCATCCTGAGAAATTCTGCTTAAAGCCTCTGCTGTGGGAAGGCTGTGGAGCTGGTGTTTTGCAGCATAATCTTGGCTTGAGAGCATTTTGTCCGGTCTCCAAATAAGTTCAGAAAGCCATGCCCAAGAGGTGCTGCAGCTGGGCAGGGGCATGCCTGACAGGCAGATGTGCCCCCAGACTGCCTCCCAGGACACATCTTAAGAACAGATGGTAGCCCTTCTTGTTGTTTGCAGTGGAGGAGAATTTGTCTGTGGTTTTGGAGCCTTAGAACTGGACAACAAACATGGCCTGAAGTTTTTTTGGTGTTTTTATTTTTTCCTTCTGGTAAACTTCAGCACAGTCTCTGTCAGTAAATATGATTTTTCTGCCTGCCCCTAGATACAATTGTGAGGATGAACGTTGCTACCTGGATTTGGCAAGGCTGAGAGGCATTCACTACATCACTTGGCGAAAAAGGAATAAAGTATTCCCACAAGATCAGGTAATGGTGGCTGCTGCTGGAAGGGTGGGTGCTATAACTTGAAGCATTTAAAGGTTAGCTTGTTTTACCTATCTATGTTCTGATACTTGAAATATGGTTTTCATTCTTTAGGCCAAATTAACTTCCCTGTTGTGAGTAAGAAATCATTTGATATTAATGGCTGAGGGAAGAAGAGAATTGAAATTAATTGGCCATTAATCCAAGCCATCCATATCATAGCTGTTACACAGTTTCTTTGCTTGACTCTTTTGCCTCAGACCAGATCGGTGATCAGAAATAATAAATTAAAATGACAGATGCTCAGGTTTTTTTCTTGCTTTTTGAATGGAAGATACGCTGAATTTGTTTTCTGTCTAAAAGGCCTTATTTCATCTTTCTAGGGACACCACCCAACGCTGGGAGAACACCCAAAATTCACAAACTACTCCTTTGATGTGGAAGAATTTATGTACTTGGTGCTTCTGGCTGCAAATCATGTTTCACAGCATTCCAAGTGGCCATTTAGGGTAAAACATGATGAATTCTAAATTAGACTTCTGACTGAAATACTATTTTTAAATAATGCTCCATAAAAATATTGTAACAACATAAAGCAAAATGCTGGTGTGAAACGCGTAAACCTCTACGAGGGAAGTAACCCATTATTAACTTGTCAAACCACTTCTTAGCACCATACCTTATCTTTATAATCCCTCTCTTTAATTCTAGGAGGTTTTGATATGTAAAAACTGTTTTCCAGAACTCTTTTTGGTTTTTGCGCTGTATTTTTGCATTCCAAATTCTGAAATACTTGTCTTTTACAAAGATATGTCCATCCATTTCATGTAGGATTTTCCAGGGTAGATACTAATCTTGTAATAATTTATGCCTACGATTATGTGAGGAAATGCTATAGGATGGAGAATGTTACGGCTTAGTTTCTCAGTGTAGTCCCTCTGGGAATGAAACAGGCCTGTCGGAGCTCCTCTGTTCCTCTTTTTAAGAAGCCGGATGCTTTTATACTATAGTCTTGTACCTGTAAGTAAAAATCTGAATAGGAATTGCCTTCCTATTGTAACACACTGCCCAGTATGTCATTTGCAGCTGAGCTACGTGCCGCCGTGGTTCCAGGATGGCTGGTTAGTTCCTTTCTGTCACCATCCATGTCCTCGCTGTGCTTCTCCATGTATTGTTTCTAGGTTTGAAGACCTTCCTTTGTCACATAGTGGTTGTAAGAGTGAAGTGGTTAAGCGAGCTTTAACTTTTGTTGTTTGATTCAACAGGCACTGCAGACTTCAATTTCAAGTTCAGAAACAGTTTCAGGTTCGAGGGAGTCTTATGTTTTTACATTTAAATACAAACTTTGACTCTTCTCCTTGTAGTTTTAAATGCTAAAATATAACAGGTCTGCTCAGTAGGTTTAGTCAGTTTTTATCTCAAAGCGGGTAAATCTCTTCTTAAATGAATACTTAAAACTTCAGGTTATCTGGGTGTTTCCTACTTTTTCATGTAGAACAGCACTCTGCAATGGAAACCCTGAGCAAATTGGAATAAAACTTGAGTCTTTTTGAGGATGCTAAAGGGAATGGACTTCTAGTTTTTTATGACAATTGATAAGATGTACAGCTGCAGCTGAAAGGAAATGAAGTCATGAGAAACCTTGGAGTCATTAAAAGCCTAATCTATTAATATTCTTGTTGTCTCAAAATGTCAAAGAATCAATCTAGAAAACTTTTGAAAATCCTTCCAAAGCCGGTAGCATAGTTCACTGTTTTCAGTGAAAGAAATATTAAGCCAAAGCTGAGTTCTTTATAAAATTCCCTGCGGAGCTGACTTGTTGGTGCTAGTGGGGGAAAAAGAAGGGAGTAGTTCTGTTGTCTTAAGTGGGGCCAGAAGGATGTGTGGAAGAACCAAGTATGGTGAGATAAAAAAACCCCTGAGTTCTGTGTTAAATTGAGAATGTATTCCCATGATGGACTTGCAGTATAATCATACAGTCTCAGTGGCTTGAAGCAGAGCATACATTTGTGTGCAAAAGCAAGACAGTTACAGTAAATGTAAACATTTCACTGGTATAATTGCAAATGTTCTTATCTTCTGTTCTCCAGCAGTCACAGGCAATTTCACAGAGTGTAGGTACGTTTACTGACCTGCCTATACTGGTAAAGATGAGTTACTGTAAGCATCGTTTTCATATAGATCTCTCACGACCTTAAGCAGTGCATAGGAAAAGCTAGATGCAGCTGATACCTTAATGTATCTTGTCTAGCTCGTGCAATTCTTAGCGTAGGGTGTTGTTTTACTGATGGGTAAAACTGTTTTACTTTAAAGAACTATAGAAGCAAAATTGCACTTCTTGACATAAAAAAAAAAAAGCCCTTGAGAAATACAGTTTGCTGTATTTGTGTGTGTGGGGGGGTTTTTTTTACCTTGTGGGATTTTTTTAAAGAAAAAAATGTAAAAAAACTTCAGTCAGTAAAATGTCTGAGTTCGAGTGAAACCAACTCAAAACAAAGAAGACAAAGACAACATTTAACTATGAACTGTGCACAGATATTTGCTAATTTTTTTTAATAAAAAGCTTTTTAATTAAAAAAGTAAAAATTTTTGGTCATAGTTTGCCAGGTTTTAGAGGCAAATGTTTTAAATACTGTTAACTGCATAGAGTCATGTCTGTCTGCTTTTTCCTGCCACGGCAACCTGATGTTCTGAGCCTCCGAACTGCTACTCAGATTTATTTATCTAGGAATCATTCAGAGATAAAGCTGTTCCCTTGCGCTGATGGCTTTGGTGCCAGGCATTTGGTTCGTGGGAAGCATTTGTATATGTTTAACTTCCTGCGCTGCAGGTGATGCTTTTGAAGCCCGTGTGTGAATGCAGGCACCTGCTCGCATCCGTACCGCAGCGGCTAATGAGGAGCTTCTCTTTCAAGCTGTGTTAGGACTCACTAAAACAAGTGGCTGAACATAAGCCTGAACGCGTGGAGGAGAGGCTGTGGGGACTTAATCCAAGGGCAAAATACCCTGCCGCCATTCACCAGTTTCAGCAAATTTGCGTGCAGCGTTGACAGTTGATGGCCAACACGTTCTTCAGCCTTGATGGCTTAATATTACTGGGATGAAAATACGATTTTGGTTGATTAGATTTACAAAAAGTCACAAAATTATCTCGGCAGCAGAAAGAGGTTCGGTTGGGTTAATGGGATTTTGCCAATAAATCCTGAGAGAGAATTTGGCCAACAGCAAAGATCTGGCTCCTGACTTTCTTAAAAGAGGGTCTGGACCATCTCGGTCTGCCTCAAAGTTGGAATTCCAGGGAACCCGTGAGACTTTTGGGCCACTTGTTCTTTAGGCAGGGTATTGCTCTGGATTATATTTTCCTAACAGACTATAGGAATCTTGTTCCTTGCTACTTCTGATTTTTTTTTTTGGTTTGTTTGTTTTGGTCTCTCCAGTTTACGTTAAGTTTAGAGTCTGTTTAACTGACACATTGGCATCACCATGATGAATTTGGGACTTAATGAACGTTGCCACTTCTGAATGCTTACAGGGTTGCCTGTATTCCATGTACAGTGTAAACTGGGAGCTGGATTTGAAATAAAAAATAATTTATGGATGCACATGGTGTCTTTCCTTTTCACTTCAGAAGTCTTCGAGATGTATTTTCAATTTTTTCTTTGTGAAGTTCTGTGGAAGTTGGGTAAGCGTGAGGAATGGATTGTGATGGGGAGGTGGCAAATTGGGATTATTACTCTTAAGAGTACAATTATAAATATTAAGGCAATACATTTTTAAAATCAATTAAATAATAATGAAATTGTTTAATTTTTGCTCTTAATCTTGCCAGTTGTAGCATTAACTGAGGGTTTAGAATGTCTCTTAATCTTTTTTTTTTTTTTTAAGCAGGAGGGAAACTGAAGGAAACGTTCTCCTTGAGAGCTTTTAATCTACTCGGAAAGGTGGAATGTGAGGGGATAATTTTCTTTGATTTCAACATTGAATAATTGTTTCAATTTGCAGTGTTTGCTCTTACTTCTTCTTGAGTTGAGCTCTTACTTCTACTCCCCTGAACACGCGTTTCTCATGGATTGGGCTTTTTGTCTGAAATAAAAGAACTGCTACTAAGCACTCTTCTGGCTTTGGCCCTGAAACAGCCAAAGTAGCTCTGCTCTTCATTACTCATTCGTGAATTCTCATCATCCTTCTTGCGTTTCAGTTCCTCGTCTCACAGCGTAGGTGTGAGGGTCCAAGCCTGCAGCTGCTGAAGGACTGAACGGGAGCTGCTCCTCCCACCTGTGGGCTGCGGCGGTCACCGTGAGCACGAGGGCTCTCAAACTCAGTTCAGCCCAAGTCTTGGCAAAAGCCTGCAGTTCAAACTGTTTGCCACAGACCCATCTTCCTCCAGGTAAGGGCTGTGGTGTCGGGGATGGCTGTGTGAGCCGCTCATCTGGTGCGGCAGTACCTTGAAGCAGGTAGGCAGGCTTTGGTGGTGGTGGTGTGATCTTTCTAGAAGAAACTAGAGCTGGATTACAATGACTGAGCCAGTCTTGGTGAGCCCAAGTCCAAAGTTTCAGTAGCTTCTGTGTTGGTGGAATGGAGCCGTTTACAGTAGGGGTATCTGGAATAGTGCAGCTGATACCAGCGCTTTGTGGAGGTGGGGAGGGGGATGCGCAGGGGGAACGAGAGGAGGAAGGAGGAATGAGTACGTGCAAAGGCTGCAGGTGGGCAAAACGGGCAGGGTCGTTCCTGAGCCTGAGGCTCAAAAGACCTCCATGAACGCAACCATAAATCAAGCGAAGTGTGTGGAAACCCCCTTGGGACAGAGCCAAAAATGAGGGTGGCAAAAATGTTGCTGCCAGAAACTAAGGAGGTACAGGAGGGAGAAACAAAAGGACCTGAATTCCCCTGGGTCTGAGCCAGGCAAGGAGGGGAGCAACGTACCCGGCCAGGTGGGGCTCTCGGGGAGAAGGGCTGGGGCTGGAAAACTGGGGGGTGGCTTGGAAGCTGCGCTGGAGGGGAGAGAAGCTGGAAGGAGCAGTGGAGCTTGTAAATATAAATGGAACACTATATAAAATATATTAAATATAAATATAATGTAACCTTAATTATTCCTGTTATTATCATTGTCTTTTGTCTTGGGGTTGGACTAGATGACCTCTAGGGGTCCCTTCCAACCCAAAACATTCTATGATTCTATGATAAGGGAATAAAACTCCAAAATGAAGAGCAGACTATCTTTTCCTTTTCTTTCTGTTTTCTTCCGTTGTTTCATTTCCCTTCCTATCGTTCTATGGCAAATCAAAAAGGAAAAGTAGTAAAAAAGAAAAATGATGGTATCAAGAATAAAAATACTTGAATTTGTTTTGAATATGCATAACCTCTAACATGGCATTGATTTTTTTTTTTTTTTTTTTTTTTAACTTGGATTTTTATAAAATCAGGTGTGGTTCTGACCGTTAGAAAAGTATTTGAAACAACTTGGTACGCAAAATGTACGAGGCCTTTGAGTAGAGGGTGAGAAATCGATTGTCCAGAGCTCAAGTACCCCATCACTGAGAAGTTGGGTTTATTTTCCCAAGTGC